TCCAACTTTGTGTGTGTGTGTGCTTGTTTGAGAGTTTCTTTGAGTGAGAGAAGGAAGGGGGTAGGAGAGATAGTCCAATCCAACTTCTGTGTGTGTGTGTGTGTGTGTGTGTGTGTGTGTGTGTTTGAGAGGGGGGGGGGAGGGAGAGAGGGAGGAAGGAGGGAAAGGGAGAAGAAAAAGAAAAAGAAAGAAGGAAACTTATTTCGCAAAGGAGAAAAACAAATGCTGTCGCTTTACATCATGCCTGGCTGTGGAATTCTGGGAGCTGAAGTCCACAAGTCTAAAAATTTTTGAAACCCACCACTGTGTCAGTGCCTCACCAGCCATAAAGCTCACTGCACGTCACTGGTGGTGGGAGGCCATATCCACCATCTTTTGACCTATCCATTGTGGTTGCACTGGCTGCATTACAAAAAGCAATAGCAAGGGCCAAGACAAAAATTAAATCTGACTACATCTATGCTGCATTTGATTGTAATGAAAATTAAGTGGAATTACCACAATACATTCCCTACACACATATTTCACCATTCTCCTTTTTAAAACATTTAAAATTTAAAAATTGATAACTTTTAAATGTTTCATCCAAGGATTTCTGGAGCTACATGAAGTTATGAGGCCATTAATTATATACTACTGTTATAAAATAACAATCCTGTTTTTTATAAAATTAAATGTTACCATATTTTCACCATGGCATACAATATAATAAAATATATTCTATTATATAGCAAAATGTTGAAAGTACAATAATCAGCAATAACAGTGATTATAAAAACACAATGTCTCATCAAATTCTATGTGCCAGTAAGAGCATTCCCCTGATAGTATATTCTACTCTAAGCCTTAAGACAAAAAGAAAAAAAAAAGTGAGTGTAGCTATTTCATCCTAGGCACAAAGCAAAAGAAGATTATTTATAGCATCAGACACAGAAAAACAGTAGGTACTGTCTTCTTAGGGATTACTGTTTATAACAAATGAGTTGGCAGACAAATCTTGATAACCTGCAATAAATTATTGGAGCTAATTACGGTACTTTAACAGGGTTCCCAATTGTTCAGATTATATGTCAACCTGTGTTTGGATGCCTTAAAATTCTCCTGGGATAAAACAAAATGCACTTCATACTTACCTTTTTTAGGTTATTTATCTCAGACTCTTGTGTTGTATTAATTGCTGACAAGTTCTTATTGAACTGAATTGCTTCCACAACTTACGTAAGGGATGGGGTAGGAAATAAAAAAATAATATTAAAATATAATCTTCATTGTGTTACTTCACATATTCTACAAAGTGAGCTCATTTTAGAAAATGTGTTTGTGTACTTTTTTCTGACAATAAAGTTAAAATCTCTTTTGAAAAATTAGAAGCTGTCTCATTTATTATCATTACTAAATTGTGTTTTATTAAATTGTGTGCAGAATGTATTACATATTTACCATTTTTCTCTAATTTCCCATGAGCACCTTTTATTAATTCAAATTGATTCATTATAACTGCATGGCATTTTTCAAATTCATTCAGTCTTTTCTGATAATCGCCCTTTGATGAATTATACAATTGCATCTTGTGCTCCTGCAAAAACAAGAAAAATTATTTGAAATATTGTATGATGCAATATCCATCAAACAATAATTCTAAATCCAGTTATTTTAATATTGGTCTCATTTAAAAATAGGCTTTCTTTCAAGCTTTTATTTCTTTCAAGCTTTATTACAGATAAAAGCTTTCAAGAGTCGCTGGGAGTCAGGCTGTATATAAATTAATAAAATATATTCCTTTCTCTTTCTAGAATGGAGTAAAAAGCATGCTATGCAGTGTCTTAGTTGTAGATAGCCTTAGGTAAGTTAGCTAGGCCTTCCTCTCACTATATCATTTTAAAAATAGATTATTTTAAAATATACAATGCTAACCACTTTCCAACACTCTATATTCCAATCACTGGCTAGTAGTACTGTGTCCCTTCTAAATGTACATTTGCCATATTATGCCATTTGCCATGAAATTCCTCATTGTATATTAGAATCCTACATTCATTTATCATCATAAAAAGAGTTGCTGAATATACATAAAGTAGGTTAGAGAGTATATTATACATTCTGCTTCCTAAGAATACTGCACAGGTCACATGTTATTTCTGGAATTAGATTGTATTAATATACTGGGGTTAATTATTCAATAAAGATATGATCAAAAACAACCTCCAAAATATTTCCTTGCATATATTGTTCTATTATTTCCCTAGTTGTCAGCTACTCATGCTTATCTTTTATTCTTGTGCTTAAAATAGCAGTTCCTGCCCTAGGCACAACAAAATGAGAATTAAGCATGGCTGGAATATCGCATCCTCTTGCATGTGCTCTAGAATATTCTCTGCAAGTCAAAAATAATACAAACTAAGTTTGTAGAATTGTATTTATTAGTTGTATTTAGTTCACTTTGGATTTTTAAATGCATTACCCTGTGAAACAAATTTAATTCTTTTTAAATATGAAAGCTGTAGACCTAAATTTATATTTTTTTCTCTTTACATTTACATTTACACTTAATTAAATTTATATGTAATTATTAATTTACACTCTTATAGTAAGATCAATTGCAATTTGTTTTACAACTAAGAAGTTCTCTGCTTGTTTTTACTTCTGATTGAAAGTGGATGCATTGCACAAAAATCAGCTAGTTTATTGTTAATCTGTTATAGTGTCAAGAGTGGGCAGCCATCATTTTTTTAAAAAAAAATCTTGTGCTATACATTCCAGGTCAGACAAATGCTAAGAACACATTTATCACGGCTAATAGGAAAGAATATTAGCACAAAAAAAATTGAACTCTAGAAAAATTTGTGATATATTAATGTAACATCCTTCATGTAAAGCTCTGTTGTAACAAAGTACAAACATTCACACTTGGCCATTGAAATAGATTAAGGAATCCTTTCTTTTATATGTAGCAGTAGTAATAAATAGGATCCAGACAAAAATAGGGACAGCGCTTACTGGAAAAATAAAAGATACAGGGTCAGGCATGGATCTCAATCTATGATCCTTTTCCTTTGTTATCTCTTGTTACAGTTTTATTCTTATCAGAAAAGCAAAAACAGACTTAATCAGTAAGGGAGTTGTTACCATACTTCAAAGGCCAGCTTTATGCTTTATTGAACATCTGATTGTATCAGAATGGTATCCTGCCAACATGTTTGCTTTCCATAGGTATTCAACTAGTATGGGGAAAATTGTCTTCATCATTAAAGTATGATTTCAAACCATCACTAGGCTGAAGCACTTGTATGATTCAGAACGTATTTTGTAAATATCAGATTTTATCATCTTTATTTTACTTGAGACTCTAGAAAGAGTGCAGAGAAGAGCAACGAAGATGATTAGGGGACTGAAGGCTAAACATATGAAGAACGGCTGCAGGAACTGAATATGTCTAGTTTAATGAAAAACGACTAGGGAGTGACATGATAGCAGTGTTCCAATATCTCAGGGGTTGCCACAAAGAAGAGCGAGTCAAACTATTCTCCAAGGCACCTGAGGGTAGAACAAGAATGTGTGAAAACTAATCAAGGAGAGAAGCAACTTAGAACTAAGGAGAAATTTCCTGACAGTTAGAACAATTAATCATAGAACAGCTTGCCTCCAGAAGTTGTGAATACTCCAACACTGGAAGTTTTTAAGAAGATGTTGCATAACCATTTGTCTGAAGTGGTGTAGGCTTTGCTGCTTAAACAGGGGGTTGGACTAGAAGACCGCCAGGGTCCCTTCCAACTCTGTTATTCTATTCTATTCTATTCTATTCTACTCTAACATATTAAGAAATTATCAAATAAGTTCCAAATCTACTTTATATCTGAATCATTAAAAGTAAAAGTGAAATAAAGTTTTATTTATAAAATTAAGAATTAAAATATATAAGAGCCATATCTTTGCGTGTATGAGTGTGAGTAGTAGAACACAACTTAAATAAAGAATCTAACTTAAAAGTGAAATAGGATAAACACATTTTACATTGCCTTTGATCTTTAACTTGTAGCCTTATCTCTCAGGTCAAAGGACATATTATTCAATTTCACCATATTTTGTGTTAAACCACTGTAGCGTTGAAGATGACTTTCTGTACAAATGTCATGGTACTTAAGGCTAAACTGGACTCTAGTTTTGAGCTTCTTAATTAAAATAACAGTTTATAATGGTCTGACAATATTATCTTTGTTCTTTCCAGTTGAGCAGCAGCAGAATTTTCACAGCTTTTAGTCAATCAAGCTTAGCAGTTTGAAAAGCTCTCTTTAAATTGAAGCATGATTCAGAGTGGACTGTTCATGACTCTTATTTTTCTGCATAATAGTGGAAGAAGAGGAACACTACAGTATTTTATATTCCCTTTTTTAAACTGAAAATTCAAATAAAATTCAAATAAAATTGTATGCATATTTTAGTTATAAATACTGCCTTCCAAATGGAAAATAAGATTCATCAAGGCACATCACTTTAATTCCTGTATCCTTTTGCTATTAAAAATATTTCTATTTTACAAAGAAAGGTGGTAAATGAGAATACACAAATGAGAATTTCACAAGAACAAAAAAATCAAATACTTCTTGGATAAATAATTTTAGAAATATTACCGTAGCAGTCAATAAAAAGCTGCTTGAGTTGCCTACCAGCCAATGTCAGTGATATATGTATAATCTAAATGTTGCAAGAGTTCTTAATTACGATTACTTCACATAAAATGCAAAATGTTTGTTATACAGTTCAGCTTTTTCTTTCATGACCAGAGGAAGAGTTATGCTTCCAAAATAACACCTATATATGAGTCTAATGATCTCATATGAATAGAATTTTCATTCATTCAACAAGAGATTAATATTCTATTTTTCCTTATAGCACTTACCATTTCATTAAGCTTCTTTTGCAACGTATATTTTGAAATCTGTTATAATAAAAACAAATAGTTTTATCAATATTTAATTAGCATACTTAATTATGTTAATGCATTTAATATCAATTAACAATTATTTGTCATTATGCTATTTTTAGGAAATGATTACAAATTTAATATTTTGAGCGGGGTTAGTACCAAAGTCTATCAGCTAGCAAGCTATTACGCACAACGAAGTCTTCTCTTTTGTGATTAAAATAAATAAATAAAGAATCAGTGACAAAACAAGTCCATCATAAATGCAGAACTCATGATAAAGAAATTTCAGAAGTTGAAAAAGTCAACCCATAGCGAGCAAACAAATTTAATGAATAAATATTTTTCTCTCCTTTCATACTTTATGCATATTGATGAAGTAAAGATAATAATTTATGTTTTTTAAATGTCAGTCATGAAAATTTTATTCAAGAATCTTATGATTTTCCATGCATTAACTTTCTTGATTGGAAAAAAATATCTGCTTGAATATTTTCAGTTGTATAACACTGAAATGCTAAATTAATTTGTGGCAATGAGATACTGCTGCACTCAAATTTCTGTCAGTCCCAACCAGCATGCAACAACACAGATTATAACATTTGTACTCTAACTACATCTGGATATTCGGAAAAGTTTTTACCAATTCCTTGCCAAGTCTCCTGAGCAAATTCAGCAGCCATAAAGTAAGAGAACAATATATAAATAACGCTCGTTAAACAACAATGAATAATTATCAAGGATGGATAGATAATTCTTGACTTGCAGAATTTTCAAAACAAGTTTCTCCAGGACCAGAATTACAACTAGTTTTGTTAACATATAGTATCTATAAAAAATCTGAAACAAGGAAAAATAATTCCAAATTTGGAATTATAGAAAAATAAATGGACAGGACAGGGTTGGGTAGAATAGGGTAGGATACAAGTTGGACATATGGATGACCAACCTTTCACATTTTTGCATTAAAAATGGCAGACTATTAGTACCATCAATCCTATATTGTGATCAGCAGCTGCAAGATTACAAGCCAATATCTCCACAAATGATATGTTCAAAGAAAGCTAAAGCTAAACCCATTCACCAGAATAAATGTCAGTTGTGTCAATAAAATAATAATTAATCTATATTTCAGATATTTTTTATTCTTAAATTGAAAAATATGATTTCTCTAGTCCATGTGCTTAGAAACGAAGAACAAATAGGGCAAGAAGGAAACAACATGCATTGGAGCAGCAGCTCCTTCCCTTGCTAGTAAGTGGGATTTTGTTAATATCTATGTTGTAACAGGGAAGATAAGTGCAGGTTCTCAATAGTTTTTGTAAAACCATCTGCTTATAGTTTCTGCTATCAGAATTACATAGGAGTGTGTTTCTATTCTGAATAAAAGAAGCCTGATAACTTTCCTGATCAGCAAAGAAAAGAAGTGATTCCGTATGTTTTCTGATATCCAAATATGTTCTATATTATAGAATATGTGAACTACTTTAAGTGCAACTGAGCTGCAAAATTAGAAGTATTTCACTCCAAAGACTTTGTTATAATCAGTTTAAATAAGATTCTACCACTAGTTGATTTTTTCCCAAGTTTATCTTAGTTAAGAAAAGCAAGGGAGCATTTATTACTTTAAAACTATGTAACATGCTCACCCAACCATGAAGTACACTATATATCACTTCTGCTGTGTCATGAATTGAGCAGGGCATAACAAATTCTTTCAGCCTTTTGCACAGAAGGTCAACAATGTGAAGGAATTTGCTTTTACAATAATCTCAGCATTAACTGGATTATTAAATAAACAAAGAATGACATCAAAATAACCAAGCTATTTATAAAGTTAATGGGAAAAGAGTAATCAGTACAGAATTAATGGCAGATAACATTTTCCCATTGTGGCAGAGTAAAAAGAAAGGACATAAATAAATAATGCTTAAAAGATAAATGTTTAGTAAAATTTCCTATATTCATGTCAAGGTGTAGCTTAACATTTGGATATAAATATTTAATAGTGAGAAGTTACTCTGGTTTCATATATGTATCCTTTTTACTTTTTTGCTTCACAGATTTTGTTTTTCTTAAACTTAAAACAGAAGAAAACATCCAGGTAATAATTTCTATAAAGTAAGCACTTTAATCTAAATTTAATTATTCTAGCATAAACATTTTGGGAGTTTTAAACAAGTCTCTCTATGAAGTTTTATTCTTGCTGGCAAGAAAAAAATTATTTACTTCAGGATTAAGTTCCAGATACAACTGGATTTATATTGCAATTCACAAATTGCAATAATCATTTTACGTCTACTTCAAAAATAAAAAGAGCAAGATAAGATGTTCGTATAAGAGATGACTTCTAAAATTCTGTATTCAGAGCTGCAGCAGAACAGTTCTTGTTTCACCAAGAAGATTGAAACATCACAAAAAAGTAAGTCTTTCTTTGGTTGTGGTTGTCAGAAATCAACAATTTCCTTTATGTTCTCACTCAGTATTATTTTTATTGATCCCAAATATTATTTGAATGAATGGGGAACTGGTATTTAAAATGGAAATGTTTCAGATCGTGTCCACCCTACTATTGTTTCTTAAAGATTGCTAAAATTATATCTGTTCTACCTCACTGCCTTCTTGAGAAAGAGCTTTTCATTTTTGTAAAGCTATCTCTAAACTAGTTCTCAAAATTTGAAGACTGCAATCTCTTTAAATGTTACATGAATTTGTGAACTCCATCTCATGAATAAAACACATGAATTCACTGGAATAAGGGTAGAGCATGAAATAAATATAATATTTCCTAAAGTTTTCATCATATTTTGATTTAACTTTACTTTTATCAGTAACAGTTAATTAGCCATATTTAGCTTTCCTCATACTATCCAAGGTTTGATTAGCTTTTTAAAATGATCACAATAATGTGCATTCTAAGCAATTTAGCTAGAGTGAATTGAAGATTATCTTTCCCATAATAGACACCTGAAAGAAAATTCACATTTTAATCAATAGACCTCAGAGGAATATGATCTTAGTCCATGAGAAGAATCTATGCTTGATTTTATCTGGCTTGAAAAATTTCTACATTTGTTACATCAATCAGATTTATGGTTCAGCTGAAAGCAGTCCAAACACAATCAGACTTATCAAGACTTGCTTCTGATCACAACCTATAGAAATATTTTATAAATTGAAGGCATTGTCTTTGTCCATTCAGAATCAGTTAATATGCTTTAGTATTTAGAGATTGAGATGTTCTGCTCTCAGAGCTTCAGTTTCGGAATCTTTCCATCACAGGAAAAACCTTGCTTCTATGGAAGACGATTAGAAATCTCAACTTGTACTTCTGGCTTTCCCAAATATGAACCGTGTTTTGATTTACACTATGTGTTTTTTGTCTTCAGTTTACTGTTAAACAGATTTGTATTCATTCTCAAATGTAAAAAATAGTGAAAAGACAAAAGATAGAAAGATCTTACTGATGCATTGAAGTTAACTGAGGCTTTTTTAGCTACGTGGTTCTTATTGTCCAGGCAGAACTACTTGGAGATCTACATATGTCCTGTACCACTCTGTGGCATATAGGCTTGGCATGATTGTTGTTCGGCTGGTGTGAGTCAGCATACAATACTTGGTGAATAAAAGCAGTTCAGTTTTAGCCTTGAAAAGTAGCTCTGCCATCACAAAGTCTGATGGGCTGACTAGGCTCCTTGCTAGAGGTGATGTGGGAAGATTCTGAGAAAGGTGTCCCATTGGTCCAGCCTGATATATGGGTGTTAGGAACTAGAATTCTGGGGTGAACTCACCTCCTTGGTTGCTGCCAGTCTAGATAAAAAGTAGAGAGAAAATGAGAAGAGAGGAAAAGTCTATGCATGAAGTGAACAAAGTGGAGAAACGTCGAGAGAGAAGTTAAGTGTGCAGAGTTGTAAGTTTCTGGTCAAGAAGGGAGAAGAAAAATCCAGGGACAGCTTCTATAAATGAGTTAGAACTCCACCCAAGATCCCAAAAGGGAAGGGGGGAATCAGCTGTCAGTGACAAAGCCCTCATCTCTGGAGAAGGACAGAGAAGAAAATCTTGAGAAACATTCTGCCCCCAATGGAGAAGCAGTGAGTGTTCAACTAAGCAGATCCAGAAGAAAGTCAAATTGTGCTGAACACACTGCAGTATTTCAGTCAATTGTTTTCTTTCTGTGCTCTCTTCTCCCCCCCCCCTCTCCCCAGAAACAGGGGAGAGAATTAGAGTAAAAGGAGAAAAGAAACAGAGCAACTAGTAGGACAGTTGAAGGAAGATATACTGTAGCCTCTGAGAGGGAGATCTAGGAGGAAACCTGACACTGAATGAATACATGGACTTTGTGATAAATAGTAAACGAACAACAAACCCAATATCTTACCATTACCACCTGTATAGATCAGAATAGATCTACAGTTCAAAAAGAAAGCTGTTATGTTGTAATACATTGAGCCAACAATGTGCAAGAAATGATGTGCTAGGTATCATTCATGACAGAGGTTGTGTGTCTGATTCTGATCAAGTCATGTGTATGACGTTTTTTTCTTTGAGAATAGAATTATGCTATGTTCAAAATTTATCAGAACAAGCTCTAACATGACAGAGATATGTCACAAAACATCATCCTTTCAAATCTGGTGGTGGAGAATAGATACATCCTATGACTCTTCAAAGAAGTAAGTGAGAGAAAATGAAATTTTAAGAGATTGGCATTTTTTGGACTTAACCCATTAGAACACTGCCTTGAAAAGCATTTACATAGTGATAAGTTAATTGTTCTTGAAAGAAATAGTGATCCAATATCTCCCAGTATGAAGAATAAAACATCTGATATTAGAAATCAGAAGAATTTCTTGTATTTCCATGCTGACAGAAAAATTACAGCCACAATAAGCCATGATTACAGTTTCAAAACCTACAAAATATATGTTAACGCATGTACTGTTACATATTTATGCATTTATTGTATGTATTTGGGAACATCAGGGGTGTCAAACTCAATTTCATTAAGGGCCACATTAGGATTGTGTTTGACCTCAGGAGGCCAGAGTGGATGTGGCCATGGTGGCCATGGCCAGCTCAATGTCACTTATGTCAGGGGCGCCTGTGGCAGCTCTAGCACTCTGCCGGAGAAAACAGGCTCCGTTTTCACTGGCAGAGACACAGTGAAACAGTCCTTCATTGTTTCCAGGACAGCCTCACGGGCCAGATATAGGCACCCCATGGGCAAAATCCAGCCCCCAGGCCTTGAGTTTGACACCACTGGTGTACACTGTTTTGGAGAGGATCATCCTGTTACTGCCTCTCATTCTAATCAGTTGTACACATTTGTTGCAGTTTATATAAGTTGACCATAGCAAAAGCTTCCAAGATCAAAGATTCCATGAAAATTATTTAGCATTTGAACATTTTGTTGTGACTGACAATGGGAAGATATTTTTTTTAGTAAGTAGGTTGTTTTCCTTAGCCCTTTGCAGAACAAATCTTTTCAATCTAACACAGGAAACACATGAATAAAAAATAAATCTACTAATCATATGACTGGGAAAAGAGTAGGGATTCATATTATATTATTTTTCATTTAACCAGCAAAATCAGATTCACTACACCCATCATGAATAGTTTTCGCTGTTGTACTCTATAGAGACAGGACCTAAATAAATACATCTTGAATTCAATGTTAATGTACCTGCAAGTTTTTAAATGTTTCTTTCAGCCCTTCCACTTCTCTTTCTTTTGATTCCACAGCAAGCAGGTGTTTTCCCTTCAAAGAAATATTTCTTACATCATGCCCTTCTTGAATAAGACTTCTAAAATTTATTTATCATTATATATATAAATAATAATAGACTGAATATAGATGTGTATGGTTATTTTGTAAGCACACATACTTGAGAAAGTTCCCAAGGAATTCCATGGAGAATAACTAATACAATGTGTATAAGGATGTCATGATGTAAACTCTGTAATTTAAATGCTACTATACAAATATATAAAGACAGAATTTGTATTGTGATGTCAGACAAGTCACTTTTCCATCATTGTAGCCAGTTACAGATGTTTATGCTTTTCTGTATTGAATACAGTTACTGAATGGGATTTTCTGTTGTACTGATTCTGTCTTAATATGCAAGGAAATTATTACCCCAACTTTATTTTTTGTTTTGTTTTGTTTTGCAAAATCTGATATTTTTACTTTTAATATATGGCACTTTAAATAGCACAATAGGCCATCAGCTTCTGAATTATATTCACACATTCTACTATTTTACAGTAACCTGCAAAAAATTAGCTTTACTCAAGTAATCACATATAAACTTCAACAATCCAAACATTGTATAATTATTTCTTCAGACTGTATTTTGACTGAAATCTCAAATGGCTGGTTTATTAGTACCAATTTATTTATTTATTGAATTTATTTAGCTTCCCATCTCACAAATCAATTTTTATAGTAACATACATACTATTTTTAAGAATCCATTGGAGTTTACAATGTAGAATGTTTTTTTTAAAATAGACCCTAAACTATAAATAAACCCCAAATCATTTTTTAAAATATTATAATGGTAGCCTAGATTCATTGAAGCATTTCATGTACTCTTAGGAATATAGCTGATGTTTCCTTCTGAAATCATATTCATGAACATTTGGGAAGCTCTGTTGAAAGGCCATCAATATTCTTAGTGCGACTTATCAGTTATTATACACATTCCTATTGGAAAGTAAGAAATGAGCCCCTGCTAGTACCTTCCATACAAAGCACTTAAATACTCCAACGCTAATTGTACATTCATTAATTGAACAAGTAAATTACACAAGTGTTCATATTACCTTTTCTTCCTCCATAGCAATCATTTTTGCTTGAAACTTGTGTCAAGAAGAAAAATAAATAAACAATATGTTCAAACAATATTCAACATTTTAGCCAAACCAGAATATTTTTATTTAATTAATATAAAGTGTAATTACATTGTAAGCTTCCAGAAAAATGTATTAATTTGCACTGCAAAGGAATCTGCTTTCCCAAATGAGAACAGAGTCCTCATTGAAAATTCTACAAGAACAAAATCCTCAACAACTGTATCAGATATGAATAAGCTCTAACATTTTATTATTCCAAAAATGGTTATCTATGGAAGAATGCAATACTTTTCTACTTGTACAAAATTATATGTTTATTAATTACATTTATATCCTACTTTTTACAATAGGAGTATACATAATACTTCTCCTATGTGGACTTCTATGCCTGAGGGTAAATTAGGACCTTGGTCTCCCCACAAATCCAACAGTTTAACTATTACTCCAACCAGTTTTCAAGGAAATGGAATAGAAAGAGTGACAGGAAATAGTTTTGCTAAATAATAAAACAAATTTCCAACTACAATTAATGATTTTATCAGATTATTATCAGACGTATTTGGAACAACAGATGTTAAAGCAATATATTATAGGACTGTTCCAATAGCAGTTATTTCTGTTTAATCCTTTCACTTTAGTAGGAATGTTAAAACAATATTTTATGGATCTGTAAGATCTTATTTAGAAAATTGGAGCTTTTAAATGGTTCTGCCTTTGTTACCATATCTAAACATTTCTCCAGTTGTATTTTCTGTGACATTGCTGCCATTTGATTATAAAACTGAAAAGTCTGCTTTTCATTAACTAGAAATTAACAACTTCATTTTCTTTGGGCTTCGTAAAGGAAGAAAAAAAGAAAGCAATTTTCCCTTTTCAAATTTAAAGACTCTTTCTTGAAATTTTGAAGGTTTTAAACTAAATGAAAACTATATTACCATAATAGACCAGCATAATTTTTAAATTATTAATATCCAGATGCTTAATTTTAATTTCATAACAGTTAAATTGTATATCATAAATCATCTTTTTAAAGAATCTCCTAAAATTCTAAATACTGCTTTTCCAGAGGAGAGAAAAATTTACTAAACCTGATTAACTGATTAGATGCTACCATGTCAACTTTCAGATCCACCAAATCATGTTAGAACTGTTTGTTGATATCTGGTGAGAGGAAGACCATGGGACATATAAAGAATTGGTTTGCTAGGTAGAGATTTGGATTTAGACCCTATCTCCTTAGAATAAAGGGTTTCTGAACTTCTACAAAGCAAATTAGACAATTTTTTGATTACCTGGAAAATGTCTGAACCATATTTTGTGATCAATGTACACTGTAGTCTAGCCTAGGAGTTATGTGTTCATTTTCTGTGCAAGTACAGTTGCAAGAAAAAGTATGTGAACCCCTTGGGATTACATGGAGTTTTGCATGAATTGGTTATAAAATGTGCTCTGAACTTCATCTAAGTCACAATAGAAAAACACAGTTTGCTGAAAATAATACTACACAAACATTAGATGTTGCCATGGTTCATTTAGATGAAGTTCAGAGCACATTTTATGACCAATTCATGCAAAGCTCCACGTAATTCCAAGGGGCTGCTGGACTCAATTCAGAATTTTCAGAGTAATTATTGATGTAGTTCCTTGTGGCAGATGAAGAATGCAAGCCATTAGTGAGCTAATTATCTTCACTAATACAATAAAACAATTTAAAGGCAGCATATATTGTGTGCTATTGGGACACGCAGTGGAAAGAACATTGGTCCTTACCTGAACGTGTCTTTTCTGTAGAGGAGAGGGAGGGGTTACACATGGGATATATCACAGCCTGATTGATCCATAGACTGAGGGAATTATCTTAAATGTTTCACCATTCCCTATTGGCTCCCAGTTTTCTCAAGCTTAAAGGATGACACCTGCAAACCGAGGCCATCTGGGTCAATACGGAGCCAGCATGATGATGTGTGCCCTCTCTGCTACTATCTTCCTCAGGGTCCCCGGTATCATGGGAAAGGGGGGAAGGCATATAATAGGCCTGGAGGCCATCTGCTCCTGAGAGCATCCGTGCCCTCCGTGGTTCTGGTGTGGAATCGGGAGAAGAATCTCAGTAGTTGGGCATTCGCCAGTGTGGTGAACAAGTCAACCAGTGGGGTGCTGAACTGGAGGCAGATCTTCTGGAATAACTCGGGTTGGAGCTGCCACTTGCCATTGTCGACTGTTGCGCTAGTCAGCCAGTCGGCCTAATGGTTGGATTTGCCCGAGATGTGCTCCAAGATCAAAGATATTAAGTGTCTCTCTGCCCAATGTCCGAGTTTCAGCTCCTCTAGCCAGAGGTCTGAGAATGGGTACCCCCTGATGATTTATGTGGGCTTTTGTGGCAACATTGTCTGTCAGGAGAAGTATGTAATGCCCTACGATCAAGTCTTTGAAGTGTTGGAGGGCTAGGCCGGCCACCTTCAGCTTTAGCCAGTTTATCTTGTGGCATAGGTCTGAGACTGTCCAATGACCCTGCATCAGCTTGTAGCCCATTAGGTGAGTCAGCAATCTGCCAGGACCTTCATGAACATGCGAGGGGCTGAGGCTAGGCCAAAGGGCAAAGCTCCGTACTGGTAATGGTGATCTCCGTGGGAGAACCATAGGTATCTGTGATGGGCCACAGAATTGGGATGTGAAGGTAGACCTCTGTGAGGTCCACAGAGGCCAGATAATCCCCCCGATGGATCCCTTGGAGAATGGACCTGAGGGACGACATTTTAAATCACCTATAAATGATGAATCAGTTCAGGTGCTTGAGATCCAGAATCGGCCTCCAGCCCCCCGAGCTCTTTGGGACCATGAACAGGTTGGAATAGTGACTGAACCCAAGCTCCGCCCATGGGACAGGTTCTACCACCCCAAATGACCAGCAGATGATTTATGGCGAGGTCCATCAGGTGGTGTCTAGAGGTCACTGAGGTGGAAATCGTCCTGGAAGCAAATTTAATGGAGTCCAGGATAGCATCGGCAGAGAACTGTGTGGCAGCTATAATTTTGGTGATGTCCTGTAACAGCCGCTCATCTTGGATCAGAATGCAGTCCTGTAGTTTGCGGAGCCACATAACGGCCATGCAGTTAAAGTAAGAAGCCGCAGCGGCAGATTTAATCGCCCAGGCGGAAGCATTAAAATTCTTATGTAGAGTAAGCTCCGCCTGCTTGTCCTCCGGCTTCATTTTGTCGGCTGCATCCCCTGACACTTCAGAGGAAGAAAAGACGAGAGCGGCTATGGGTGTGTCTATCGCTGGCAGTTAAAAGGCTTGAGCAAAGGCTTGCTCCATATTGTAGAAGCAGCTATCACTTCTCCCTAGATTGGGAAAAGTGGATGGCCAGGCCCACTAGTTTTTGACCACCTCTAGAAACAATAGAGGAGCAGTCACCTCCTCCTTGTTCATAGCAGTATTAGAAAATATTGCCATATTCGGGTCCCTAGGCTGGGGAACCATTGGGTCCCCTAAGTGGTCTTCCTGGCCTTGTGTAAAACCCCATGTCCTGCTGCGCCTCCTCACCCAGGATGGAACCCTCACTGACCATGGAAGGGGAAGCAGGCCTGGTGTGGTCCTGTCTAAGAGGAACAGAGAGGTCCTATTACTTTGGGAGGACTTTTCCCTCTGGGACAGACCTGTGGCAATACTCCTTGTAATCGCTGTAGAAATGAGCCTCCTTATGCTTTCAGGAAGGAGCCTCCAAATCCTCCAGGTCTTCCTGTGATGGGCCTGGAGCAGGGGGTTCCTGGGGAGCCAATCCAGAAGAATGATGGTAATCTCTAGAGGAACTGATCCCCCCATCACCCTCGATAACCCCCGGGGAAGCCGGAGGAGAAGGGGAAACCTCCTGTCTCAATTGCCTGCAAGGCCTAGCAGGGGAAACTGAAGGTGAAGAAGGGCTAAAACCCCTGGGTGGAGAGCCAGATTGAATAGAGGCGGACCTGATGGGAGACCTAGATCTGTTATTAGGATCAGGTCTAAAGTTCTGGGCCCACTCTTAGCTCTAGCAATTGTCTTCTCCAGGGCTCATTGTTGCCTCTGTTCATCTCTAGTTGTGGCTCTGGAGAGTCATTGGGTGGCAAAAGGCTTGGAGGTCATGGCCCTGGGTCTGAGCTTGCCACCATCCCCTTCCCTATTCTCACTTTGGGTCTTACAGGAGACCTGTGGGTGCTCAGATCTGGTTGCCACCATCATAATTACTCATGTGCCCTGGAGTGAAAATGGCTAACTAGTGGCTCCAGCCGGTGCCTGGGCCCTTGGAAGCTGAGGCGAGGAGGTGTCAGTTAGTGACCTGCCGGCCACGATTAGCAGCTGCGATGCAGGTCCCAGATGTAGGCCATACGGCGATCTAAAATGGCTGCTTCCACGTGGCCAATCAAAATGGTGACTGAGGCTCCGAACACACTGCTGAACAGGTCCTCCAATCCACGGCTTGCCCTTTTAAATTGCAGATCGCGCCGACTGTTAGTAGTTCTCTGGCGAAGTCCTAGGCTCCAATCTGGTGAAGCCGCGCTTTGCCTTTTTAAAAGCGCAGCTCGTTCTACTCCTCCCTGAACGCTTTCCCGCTGGTTTAAAACCTCCTCTTTAGATTTAGATTTTAGATTTAGATTT